GAGAGAGAGAGAGAGAGAGAGAGAGAGAGAGAGAGAGAGAGAGAGAGAGAGAGAGAGAGAGAGAGAGAGAGAGAGATTTTATAGATGGCAAAACATCATCAGCTGTCAAGGGTTAGCCAAAGGTAAAAAAGAAAGGCTTTCAACAGCACCAAGGGAGGCTGCATGCCAGTGCATGGTGCTCACCGTCCATACATGAGAATAGATTCGACAATTATTAAACGTTAAACGACCAGTACGTTTTTCACAAATTTTCAGGCAAAGAGTTCAATGCCATGCGCTGCGTCCTTTGGGATGTACTGGGCTGCTGTGTGAGGGGCAAATGTATTCATTGTGAACCGCCGCAGCAGGCCCCACATTTCATTCAATCAGTGCGCATGCATTGAAAAAGGAGCAAAGAACCAGCAGCCAATCTAAAGATCCGTCCATCTCGCCTTCTTCCAGGGCTACGAATCGTCAATCGCAACCTTATCCCTCTTCCCCCAAAGAAGTTACACGGTCAGAACACTTCCCCCCCCCCCTGCACCCCCTCCGACCCGTTTCAGCTCCTCCGCCGATAGCCGCCACAGGGGAATTCCTATCGCTATCTTGACAACCATCTATGCTTCGTGGACGAAAGCGGCCAATCAAGTTCCATGTGCCTTGCCCCCTATCTGTACCTTGTCCGGCCCTATCTTGTAGTACTCTATACCCTATCTGTAGGGGGGGGGAAATGGGGCCCCTATTTGTACCCTACTCGACTCCTATCTTGTAGTGCGTCTTCCCACACTCGGCATGCAATTGCTCGCACGTAGTATTCTGTAGCCACCCTCTCCACTGTGCGCGCGCCGTGAAGATAACCCCGCGCGACTTCTTGAAAGTTGTATTTAGACCATGTGCCCGCGCCGCGGAGAAACTGGCATGTCAGGCAAGCGCACGGAGTTGTGCCACCTTCGTTGCATGGAAGTGCACTGCCGGTGACAAATGAGCACGAGAATGAACGGAGGATGCAAGGGAAGAAAGAGCATGCGAGCGAAGAGAGGCTCTCCCGAAGACGAACGAGCAGGTAGATGCCACCAGCACTGCAGCCTCAGCCACATTCGCAATTATTCCTAAAAACCGCAAACCGTGTTCATTCCAAAACAGGAATCCGACGACATCATAAACAAAGCACCCGTGTCCCGTCGGCTAGCTCAGTAGGTTTCATCCCTGAGCACCGCCGCGTAGGTGCTGGGCTCTATTCCCATTACCGTCGCTGTCAGTGGCCTGAGGAGGATTGGTGGCCACGGCCAGTCAACACTGGTGACTCGCTGGGGCGAGTTGTGCCACCCTGTAACCCGTAGCAATGCGGGATCACCGGGTCAAGTGGATGTGGCTGCTCAGGTCCTCCTGCGGCCGGTCGGGACACACACCCAATACACATCCTAACAAAAGAGCTCTTCAGGGTGAGTTCTCAGACTGAGTACCACCATAGCTAACATTCATGGCTCAATTACGATGCCTTATCTATCAGGGCTGAGACCCTCAATCTCACGATGCTACTTCCAGAGGCTTAAAAACTCTCAAGATACGTATCACAACGTAAGCACAATAAGGAAGTTCAGTAAGTCATGATCACTGCATATAATCTACAATAACTTCCATGATACTCTTGAATTACCTGGGGCCGGTCAAGACTGCGGCCCTTTTTTTCTCTTTTTTTTTTTTAAAGAAAAAAAAATTATTGTCTGTACCATCTAGCCATACATGGTCCAGATACTGAATCATGGAAGCTGATCTATATTCATCTTGCAGGCACAAAGAGAGATAAAGTGCGCAAATTTTCAGAGAGCGGAAGCGGAGCAAGGAGGTGCAAAAGCAGATGTGGAGCGAGGCGATCCTGCGCCGGCAAAGACGACAAGTATCAAGCATAAAGTGAATAATGAAATTTTTGCACATGCTCGGGGCTTGCAACCTTTGCAGGAGACCACAGTGAATAGAAGACTTGTAAGGACGCATTCTTCTTCTTTTCTTTTTTTCCTTTTTTTTTAAGGACACATTCCAAGTTTTCTACAGTTTTTTTTTTTTTTTTTTAATCCAGTTTATAGTAACTTTATAGTAGTAGTTTATACCTAGGCTACCAGCCGGGCTGCCCGGGTGTAGTTTATACCTAGGCTACCAGCCGGGCCGCCCGGGTCACCCTATTTTCCCGGACGGCCCAGCCGTGCAAGGACCAGGGAAGGTCCTAGCAAAAAAAAAAAAAAAAAAAAAAGAGAAAAGAAAAGTCCGAAAAACCTAGGCTGGGCCGGCGCCCGGCCGAGGGGGTCCGCCCGACGAAACCGGGCGACGCAAAAACATAGCAAGGAAATTTTTTTAAGGCGGGGTTGTGCTGCGCTACCCTAGAGGACCCCGAATCTGCAATAAAAAAGTGAACTTCGGGG